AACCCAGCAACAACTGTAAATATTAAAATATAGAGGATACTTTTTTGAATTTATTGTATACATTATAGTTTTGAACACATACCTAGATAATCCTCCTCTGAGTACCAAATTTGCTTTACTGAGTAGGAGAAAATATAAAACTCCAACAAACTTGAAATGCTTCAAGATGCTGAGTCTATTGTATTGCTGAAAACAGGTGCAATTCTTAGGAGCAGGGAGCTGCCATCTACCACAAGCAATGCAGCTCCCAAGAATAGAAAGCATTGACTCACTAGAGATGAAAAGGAGAATATAACAAGAGAGGGAAAATGACTATGAATTTTACACATCACATTTCTAAAGGAGAACAAGATCCTTGAGTAAGAGACTGCGTAGGTCAGGACAGCACAGACACCACAGATCCCAAGAAGTTCCATTTAGGAAAAAGGCCTTCTCCCCCACAGAGCATATTTACCTGCACCCCTGTGTTCCCATCACAGAGTGCATCCTGCAGGAGAGGCACCAGCTGCCTCCCACCCCAACAGGGCTGGCCTGGGGGACTGTGAGCCACTGTCATGCAGAGCCAGCTCCATTTGGTGCTGACACTCTAAACCTGAGCTAAGTACTCTGGAGTTGGAGACAAAAGAGCAGAAGTGAGACATGTCTTGTGTGAGCCACAAGCTATGAACTGTGGATTCCTGGAAAACACCCCAGCCTTGGAGGGGACAGGCTGGACCTGCTGAATCTCTCTCACTCTTTCACCTGGGCTGACATCTCAAGTTGCATGGAGAGCGTGGCTTTGTTTTGAAAGACATTAGACACATTTCATTGTGCATCAGCAGTTCCACCCACGGAGACTTCTTAGATCTGTCCAGCTTTGGCATGTTTTACAACTCTAAATTCTTCCATTTACTCCTCCTTCCTCAGAGCACCCTTAGCCATGGTAGATTTACTGCTCTGCAGATGCCTCCAGTCTGCCTGCAGCAAAGGGGATGCGAAGCCATCAGGCTGCAGGATGGCTTCCACAACCCACATGTGAAACACAAGCACACAGAGCAATTTGCTCCTCAAACTGATGGGAATTCAGGGAAATTAGGGAGTGATTTTATCTTCTGACTCTCTTCCCCAGCATACAGCCACCCTTCTGCCCTCCATTTTGCAAAACAGTGAATTGCTCCCCAACCAGTTGTGACAAGATGCACAATGACCTTTAATAGTCTATCATAAGAGAGATTAAAGATTTAGCACATATACAGCTTGGACATAATAACAAAAAACACTAGAGCAGAAATTGGACCCTTTCTCCTCTCCACTGTGAGAAAAAAGCTCAAAAATCACCAAGCTTGATGACTGGAGCCATATACACTGGAGGGAGCAAGACAACATTTAAGCCAAGATTTCTGCTTTCCACTTGTGATAAGCCATTTGTACCAACACTCAGTTTACTTTGGCTGATTGTAGCACAGTGCTCCTGCCAGGACCATCATCACTCTTCTCCTGTTCCTCCCTCCACTGCACTGCTGGTACAACAAAAGCTGCTGACCTATTCTAAGCCCTCCTCTTTCCTGGGCACTTTTCAGAGCAGCCAGTGTGCAGATGAGAGGGAGCCCACAGGAAGGAAGAAGGGCACAGCTGAGGCCAGCCAGCCTCTTTGCAGCATTTCTGGGCTTATTTGGCACAACAGCTCAGGAACTGTATTACATGTGCCACTTCCATAGGAACTAAATTTCTACCTGATCAATTCATGTTAAGCATTGAAATATATCCCAAGATGTTTACCTATGATGAGTGGAGGCTGCAGTAACCCAGCTACCATAACCAGATGGCACCAGACTGTTGCAGAGCTTATTCTCTCAAAAGCAGAGAAGTGCATAACGTTGCTTTCATCTATACACCAGCAAAATCTGAAATGCAATCACTTTCCTGACTTAAATGGTTGCAGTCATAAAAACTCAGCTATACCAGAACAAAAGATTTTAACATAAAGGCTTGTGAAGTAAAAGCATATTAAAAAACTTCAAACTTCATGAAATCTTATTTTCTAAAGAAGCCTTAGGATGAAAGCATAATGAATCGGTTTCTGTGACAGTAAGTAATCTTTGGATGCTCAAATTGCACATAATTTTCCACATTCACTCTTTCTCATCATGCCCAAGAGGACACAAAACCATGTCTTTAGCATGAACATCACTGCAGCCACCACTGAACATCACCTTTTATTGAGGAAAATCAGCACAAAGGGGACACTGCCCAGTTTTGTTGTGCAAAAAAATAGATCCCCAATTTCTGTCAGAGCTGGGGTGGTCCTCCACAGCCACATTAGAATCATGGCAACATTGCTGACAAATTTCCATGCATTTTTTTACACTTCTTTAAGTGGTAGAAAACTTTTTTGCAAGGGCAGAACAGGGATACTCTCTGTTCAAGTGAAAACTGGATGCCTTCAACTACTTGTAGCCCAGGTCATCACCAAAGCCCAATGGTTTAAGTGAATTTTTCAGCCTGGAGATGCTCACAGTGCCCAGTGCAGGCTGGTATTCCTGTGTTGGCTTACTTTGCTGAGCACAGAAGTGCTGAGGAAATAGAAGCAGTAACAGTCTAACCTGTCCAGGAGCTTACAGAACCATCAGCATGAGGAATAATACTGCAATACTTCCCAAGATGCATATAAACCACAGCAATTGTTAATATTTCTATGCTTACATCCATTGTTATAATTGGTCATATAGCTGTATAAGAGAAAAACCTCAACAAAACAAAAAAAGAGGGTGGTGGGGTGGTGTTTGAATTGTTTCCAACATATTCTTTTATGTAGAGAATATCCCAGAAGCTCTTCTTTCCTAGATGCAAGATCTTCTTTGAGAAGAACTTCTAAGACCAGCTAAAGCCAAAAATAATCCCAAGACATCTCCAGATTCAAATGCCATGCAACCAAAGCACCAATTCAAATATTAAAATCCATACTTAGGACCAAGCCAATACCTTATCTAATAAATTGATGAAACCAATGAATAGAACCTTCAGTAAACAACACATCAGCTTTTGTGTTTGCATTAAAAAAGTTAACCAGTCATAGTTACCTAACAGAGAAAGACACTGCAGCCTTCAGATATACCACAGAGGTTCTTGCTGCTGATACAGAGCCTTAGGTGATGGTTACAGGAGCTGTGCTGAACAGGAAAGCAAAAGGTTTTTTTTTTTCCCAAAATTAGAAATATACAATTTCCAAAAATGGGAGCAAAAGACAGAAGGTAATGAAAAATACTGCTGAAGAAATGTTTAATTAAAAAAATCAGGAATTCAACAGTGCCTAAATCTTTATTTTTCATAACCTACATATTTTTTTTCAAATTAGACAGTTTTACATTTTTATGACACAAAAGGAAACTTAAATTACTGATAGTTTACATGTAAGCTTGATTCCAGTCTTAATGGAAGAAGAACAAAAACAAAAACCCTCAAAAAGGCTCCCATATTACACTTCTATTTCGTGAATTGGCAGCTGTTAGGTGTCCTCAGAAATCTTGGATTGTCTGCTGCTATTAGTGTAATAGGTTCTGAAGCACAAACCCCTACCTGAAGCTGAAGGAGATACAGAGATAGGTGTGCACCATTACAGTCAGCTGTTGCTCCTGATACACTGCCCCTGCTCCAAGGGCCTTGCCAAACCAAGGGCTCAAGGCTTTGAAGGACAAGGCAGCAACATAAAAAATCTGCCACTGCTCACAGGTTTCTATGTGACAGTGTCACGGGGTGGGACTGATCTGAAATGACATTCAGTTTTGAAAGCAACCTTTTTTTAAAAATTCCTGGAAGAACCTCAGATCCCATTTTGACTTGTTTTCAAAATGAAAAGCATCACCACGCAGTTCGAACAGGGTAAAATGCCAATTTTAATTACTGGATCCCTGAACCTTGAGCTCAGCTACTGCTTTTGGGAGATTTTTAATTTTAAAAGCTATATTTTAATCCCTCTCTGTATCATAGCAACAGTCTGCATGCAACTTCACAACTCTACTCCAAAAACTCCATTTTGTCACTAAGTGGGGGTGGGGGGAAATAAATCTCAAAGCAAAATACAGTAAGGAGAAGTTGTATTGTATATTACACAGCGATTTGGCGTGTCACCTTTTCTTTTTTAAAAAAAAGCTACAAAACCACATCAGAGGAAGGTTTTAACTTTAGATGCAACAGACTGTTGCTGGGTAAGCAGTAATTACAGTGTATTGACCTATCACAAATGGCAGCAGAATACATTAGAACAGCACAACACATCCCAGTGGTCTCAACAGATCACCTGGGGCACCGGCTGAGCACCAGCACGAGCCGCTGGAAGGGACCACTGGCCACTGTCTGCAGCTGGTAAAGCCTTTCAATGCAGCAGACACACAGAATGAGTCATACAGCTGGCCTAAACCATACACAAATCTAGCCACCGCTTTCACTGCCGCTGGGGAAAGGAGAAGGGGGTCAAAATCCAATGACAGAAGGAGCTGAGCAGTTTTGGTGATGGTGTCGGGGTCCTATCTCCTCCCTCAGCATTCACAAAGTGCGCTTTTGAAACAGGAAAAATCAACAGACTCCACGTGCCCTATTTTGACCAATTCTGCAGCATACAACAGGCTGGATTTACAATGCCAACTAGTTACCAATTGATGCTTGTAAAAGGAAATTTATCAGGAGTCAACTTCTACAGTTACTTTACAGTTCTATGAACCATGCATTGATACTCTTGAAAGCAGACAAGTGAGCTTCAGTGTATATTTTTGCAGCAGTCAAGTTTTTCCCCAATTAGACTTGATTTTTTATTAATGACTTAAAAATTACAGTTTGACTGCTGAAATTCATTATTTACATTGCAGAACACTTTTGAATTGGTTAAATTGTTTGGTTTTAAAGGGACTTTAGGAAAATAGTTGAGGGCTTTCAAATAAGACTTTCGTTCCATTTCCCTTTTGCAGTGAAGAGGCAGAGTCAGTTCAACACACCAGAATAAAATAAGAAAAAGAAAAAACAACAAATTAAAGTAATATTCAAACCACAACATTTAGTTTATCTACATCCAGCTCAACAGCAACATTTATAATATCAATAATTTTTATCAGATTTTTTTCTTTAGGGTACCTTTTTATATGTTCTGATTATTTACAACTGTACAAGCAAAGCACACACTTCCAAGTGCACATATTTAATACAGTATTGACTATTTGCATTTACAGGTTTTTCAACAATCTGAAAAAGATCAACTGTTTAAGATCTTTAAGGTATATTACAAAAACTGCGGCTAGTTCCTGTACTACAGTATGTTTACCCAGTAAGACCAGTGACAATAGATACATACTGTAACTGAGTAATTCTGTATGCCATTCATGCTAACCCTCCACGGGGTCAGACCTCATTAACTCTAAACTGTCTTGTACAAAAGTTAAGGCAAAGTCATTTTCAAGTTTAAATAAAATTCAAGTCTTTAAATATTGGATGGAAATAATTCTTTAAAAAAATCAGTTGTTTAAATAAACATTTTTGTGGAATAAACTGTACTGTCATAGTCAGCAGGAATGAGTTTTGTCTGAACTTCCTGCAGTTTAAACACTTAAAGAAAAGCTTTAGGCATTTTAAAACAAAAATAATTTATATTCAACTTTATTAGAAACTTGCTAATTTAGTGCATCCTTGTCCTTCAGAAAGCGCATCACTTCTAAAGTAAATAAGTGTGAGAAACCTCATCCCAGAGGTAAATATCAGGGATCTCTTCCTCCACCACACAAAACAAACACCATTATCTTGCGGCTTGAAAAATTGAAATCCGTATGCCAATGCTCGTAGTTACAGGAAGATGTCAACACAAGGCTGACTAAGATATGAACTCTTTCAAAGAGCACTTGGGGCAGAGTTTTTAAAAAAAGTCTACACAGAGCACAGGGGTAACCAGAATATACAGCGCTGACTCAGTTAACTCCCTTACAAGCACAGGGAAGCTAAGGTTATCACAAGAAGGCTACTCTGCTTTCTCCTGATAACATCCACTAACAGGCTTCACCACCATAGAAGCTCACAGACTTGATTCTTTCTATTCACAATGTGCTTTGTATTTGCAAATTATAACATCAGTTTTATTCTGGAGTGAGAAGATGGTTACTTGCTTGCAGTAAGTCAAAAAAGGAAATATTTCAGAAAGACTGCTATATGGTGCCCTGTAGAATTCATTTTATGTGTGCAAAACATCAAAAAAAGATTAAGTTTTTAAAAATGCTAGAAACAGCTACTCATTTAACCTAAAAGTGCAAGTTTGTTTGCTGACACTTAGTACAGCAGCCCAATAAAAGAAAAATCTTCAAGGTCACATACTAATTTGTAAAATATATCTACTTTCTTGCACTCTACACACTAGCTGCCGTTATCAGTCTTTTGGACACTAATTTAGATATGTACTTGCAGACCAGTTTATTAAAAATATTGCAGCAGCATGTTTCTGCTTAACAGTTTAGAAAAAACTCACTATACAGAGCTTGCACTCACACAGCCACAGAGAGGCTTAATAAAAAGTTGATTTTTTTTTAAAGACAAATATTTTACACCTTGGAAAAAGAAAAAAAAAAATCACACTAAGCTTCACCTCCAATTAAGCACCAATCTAAATGTAAGGTTTAGAACAACTATCCAGAAATACCCAGAAAAATAGAATGCTTGTTCAAGAGGGGGAAAAAGTATTTCACAAAAAAATATCTTGCAGGCATTGTTACATGCCTTGTATCACTGCAAGCTCCTAACCAGCAACTCATTCTCAGGTATCTTAGTGGGAACATGGGTTTAATTTGTGGGAAACAGACCTCTTCTCAAATCCCTCCCAGGTGTTATTTTCACTGAGGAGATTTTGGAGGGGTACTCTGTTCTTTATTTAAGCGTTTGCCAACGGCTGGAGGGGACGATCTGCGTCCTGACTGTCTTCTCTGGTCTTTGGGTTGTCCAGGATGTGACTTTGCAGGAGGAGGTTCTCTGTTTTTCTCTATTGTTTCTGTGGGCTTTTTTTCTTCTTTCCCACATGCTACAGTGTTTGGCTTCTGTTCTTTCTGGGGTTGCAATGTAGGAGGATCCTTAGTTGTTCTCTGGCAAATTTCCGCATAACTAGGTTTTCGCAGTTCCTGGGAAATCAGGAACAAACAGGACAGAGTTAAACAAAGCATCCTAAGGGGAAAAAAACCTTTTATGAACAAAAAAGGGTGAAGTCCTATCCCAAAAGACTGATGCACTTAAATATGCAGATGAGGGTTTGAGTATGAAGATTACAAAACTGCATAGACAATAAAGCTGAAGAAAAGGTAAAATGTAAAACAGCATGCCAGAAAAATGGGGTACTGGCACAGGGCAAAACACTTCCCCTTCAAACTCTAAACCAACTGAAACACAATGAATACTTTGGTTTCAATATCAACCTATGTTTTAATACTTCTACCTCAGAGATACTACCAAGAAAAAGATTCAGATAAGGGGGTCTCTTTTGCACTGCTAATTGCATCATTCTATCATGCAAGTAATCATGAAGCCAAACAAGCAAATTTAAAGCTGCTGGATTAATTCTAGGATGCTGGGCTCACATGATTAGGCAACACTGGGTAGCAATAAATATTTTGTTAAATACAAACTGGATCATTAAGAAAAACTGAATAATAAGGTCACTTACTATGGCAGCCCCATTGACTTGTACCGATTTACATGCAGTACTCAGAGTGGAAGAAGAAAGTCTTTCTGTACTCTGTGTCTCTCTCTGCTGTTTATCCACAACTTTGGAGTCCCTGTAATCATCCAGCAGGAAGCAAGGCTCATGAAAAATGAAAACTTCAGGATAGATGAATAGTTTAATAATAGCTCTAAAAAGTTTGAGTATGACTGCAAGTAGCTACAGCTATAATTTGCCTAGCACATGATGACTAGCAGTACATTAAAAATGCCATCAAAAATAGAAAAAATATATTCCTGTGCAATGTGACACTACCTCTAATTTGTCATGTTCTAATAGCATTTAGTTACTCAGCTATTTGATTTGCAAGTTCCAAATAAAGTGTTACCAAAAACTTTTTTTATGGTATGGACATCAGTATTGCCCACAGGGCCATGGATTTACTCTCTGTGTTTCAAAGGTTTCTAAATACAAGACAGCAAGGTATTCATTAAACTTCTACTCACAGAAACTAAACCACAACACTAAGTTTTCTTCTGCTAAATTACTATTATGATTGAATCACTATTATGATATTGTTCAGAAATTAAGCTTTATTGCCTTTACTACAAGTACAACAAAATATTACTTCTTTCACTGATTAAAATTTTAATAGCTATTTACATTGTTCTGCCTGATGAAAGAAAATGCAAATGTGATGCAGAGCAGACTAATTATACCCATGTAATTAAGTGCTTACTCAGTAGGCTGGGGAGGCGAAGGAGACCTTTCAAAGGTCCTGGGCAATGTAGAAGAAACTGGTAACGGCTCTCGAGGAATTCCTGATGGAATAGTGTTTGTACTTGCATCCACATTAATGTTCTGAAGGAGGAAAAAAGGCACAGAAAGACAATCAAAATATTCAATTAATATGGTCTGCCTGAAAATTAGCACAACCAGGGAACACTTCCTAGTTTGATTTATACTGGTAAATTGACTATAGGAAGGTACAGAAGGAGCCAATACGGGAATTGTAATGAACATGTTATTTTTTCCTTGACATTTATTTAGAAACACAGACAGATAACACACTGGGGTTATTTCCAAAGAAGTTAAAAGCTTAAGTCCATTTGTATATTGTCCATTATATTTGGACATATCTGAATGACAAAATCGCTTTGAATCATTAAGGTTAGAGAAGACCTTTAATCAATCACCACCTTGTCAACTAGACTACGGCACTAAGTGCCGCATCTGGTCATTTCTTGAACGCTTCCTAGGGTGGTGACTCCATCACTTCTCTGGGCAGCATGTTCCAACACTTAACTTGCCTTACAGTAAAAAAAAATTTTCCTGACTTTCAACCTAAATCTCCCCTGGCACAGCTTGAGGCCATTTCCTCTTGTCCTGTCACTGGTTGCCTGGGAGAAGAGACCAATCCCCACCTGGCAACAACCTTTGTGCAGGCAGCTGTAAGGAGTGATAAGGTCTCCCGAGCTCCTTTCCTTCAGGTTACACAACCCCAGTTCCCTCAGCTGTTCCTCATAACTTGTGCTCCAGACCCTCCAGCTTTGCTGCTCTTCTCTGGACACACTGCAGCACCTCAATGTCCTTCTTGTATTGGGGGGCCCAAAACTGAACACAGGATTTCAGGGGCAGCCTCACCAGTGCCCAGGACAGGGGGACACTCATTGCCCTGGTCCTGCTGGCCACACTATTGCTGACCCAAGCCAGGATGTCATTGGCCACCTGGGCACACCTGGCTCATGTTCAGCTGCTGTCAACCAGCACCCCCAGATCCTTTCCCCAGGGCCACTTTCCAGCCACTCTGTCCCCAGCCTGTAGCACTGCCTGGGGTTGTTGTGACCCAAATGCAGGACCCAGCACTTGGCCTTGTTGAACCTCACACAATTGGCCTCAGCACATCAATCCAGCCTGTCCAGACCCCTCTGCAGACCTTTCCCTTCCTGCCCTCCAGAACATCAGCACTCCTGCCCTACTTAGTGCTGTCTGTGAACTTACTGAGGGTGCCCTCAATCCCCCTGTCCAAATGACTGATGAGGTTATTAAATCAGACTGGTCCCAATACTGAGCCCTGGGAAACACCACTACTGACTGGACTTGTTTCCACCTGTAAATTCTGCACCTGCTGGTGACAAAGCAGGCTTTGCACTTGTAGACATAACTACAGGCAGCCTATGAAGACAAAAGTCTCCTAGTGCTGAGCTTCAAAGCTCTAATTCTGTATCATCCCAATATAATGATTTGCTACCAAGCAAAGGCTTTTTCCATAGCCCTCAAAAGATTCTGCCAGTGCCAAGTGATACTGTACTTCCAGATAAATGCCAAACAGGTTCAAGATGCATACGTTAATTTAAATGGTCACAAAATAAGAAAATACTACTTTGTATTCTGAAAAACATATATCTCACATTTATAACCATTTTGTTTGTTTTAAAGGGTGCTATGTTCTTTGTATTGCTTCTGACCTGTCTCAAAAATTCCAAACCTCAAAGAGATTCTGGTATGCAGAAGGGAAAACAATGGGAGAACACAAGCTCAGAAGGAATAAGATAACCCCCTCCTTTTCCCTCAGCCAAGTCACCATTCAAAAGGGCATAACCCTAAGACTCCTATGGTTGCTGTTATAAAAGAAAATGGGATTTGATGGCACTGTTTTAAAATCAGGCAGCATAGATTACTGCAGTAGATCTAAGCCTAGTTTGATTCAATGTAAGACTGCAAAAGGTGGATGTTCAGAAATAACAGAACAGCTTTTATAGGTTTATTCACTGTAATAGTGTATGCAAAAGCTTGAAACTGCAAGCTGCTGAGCATTCTGACCCAAGTGCATCAGAACTTGCAGGTACATGGTTAAGTGTGAACAGCTTCAAGTCAAGCAGACGTGCAAGAGCTTTTGCTTGCCAAAACACTCAGCCTTGACCTGACAGTGCTGCACTTCCTAGTTACAAAATGTGGGATGATTATTACCTGCCATTCCCCAGAGCTACTTCTAGAAGAGCATCACTAGGCAAAGAGCATAAAGATACAATGCTTGCATAACAACTGCTGGAAAGGAGAGACCTTCAGTCCCCCCTCAGCTCCCATACACTGGACTCACCCTTCTATATGAAACAAGGGAAGCACTGTGTAACTCTACTTCAGTGCTTTGTAACACCACATCAAGTGACATGAAAAAACATTGAGATCAAGGTGAAAAGCAGCCTGTATACATTGGCAGGACTGATGTTAGCTCAAACAGCTTTGTAGCAGAACACAATTGCTCTTTGGAGCCAGCTGCCGTTATCTTAATCTTTACTTAAATGCCAACAAGGAAAGGCAGCATAATCCCTTTTTTCCCACATAATGGTACAGAATAACTCCTGTATGCTGGAAAATGAAACTGGTAAATTGAAGGATGCTTTTTAATGTGACAGTGCACTGCAAGTATCATAAAGCCTAAGTGCCTGACTGATATGAAGACTGCCTCTACAGGAGAGAAGTCTAAGTTCTTTACCGTAAGTACAAAGCAAGTACTAGATCTGTAATGGGGGAACAAAGGGTTTTCAGCTGCAGTATTAAAAGCAAGTGCTGGAATTGTATTTAAAACCTGAAATACCATAGTCAAAAACCACTTCATAAGTAACAGAGGTAAAATACTTCATAACTAATAGATCTTAGCCAAGAACAGCCTACCATCTGTAGTATTGGCTGACAGTAAGTTAAACACTGTTTTTACCATGGCTCTGAACTGCACATTCACTCTAAATGCAATCCTGGAACACAGCAGCCCCTCCTACCACTTGCAGGAGACAGAGTAGATGGGCTCTCTGCACAGTCACTGCCTTGGGTGCAGACTGTCCTGCTGCCTCCCCCTTTCTTTACCAACCCCTGACACATGGGCACCAAACAAAACATTCTAAACCCAGCTTATTGCAGGAGAAGACACCAGAGATTGTGGTGGTTCACCACTTCACCATGTCACTTTGCACTGCTAATCCAGGGCTTAACTTCTTCAGTTGTGGTACAGCTAGAAAAACACAAGTTACATTTCAGCTATCAAAAAAAGCCAATACAGACTTTCAAAGCCCAGAGAATTCCACACTGCAGAGGGTTATTTGAGTTTTCCTGGAGAAGAACATACTGTCACTCACAGATGGCATGGCAGAGACAGTTCTAAGAATGAAATCTATGAAAAACTACTGAACATTAATTTTCAACTGCATCTCTACTACATCTATACAGCAGTGGTTGCCAAGTTATTCTGATTTTTTTTTTACTTTCTGAGCAATTTGACAAGACAACACTGGGATCCAGCTGGTTTTGGTAGCAGTTCTTGTTCCAGCTATGATGCCTAGTGTACTGAGATTATGTAGGCAGCTTCTTTATTTTGGTGCTTAGAAGTTTGTCACTTTAAAGTGTTTTATATAAAACTCAGAAGTCTTACTTTCAAGCAGGAGGGAAAATCTATCACATATTTTTCACCTGAGTCTATCAAAAAGCCTGAGGCAGTTATGTACAGCAAAGAGCATATTTTCTAATATCTGCTATTAACATCTACTTATTAAGCTGGTACCCATATTCCACACCATTTCAAAGAGAATACCCAACAAATTCTAAGATATAAGTGAAGAAGGCAGCAGCACATCATTTGACAGCTCTTTTTAAAGAACATTTCTTACAACCCATGTAAACCCACAAGTTTTTCCATGCATAGATCACCAAATCAGAAAACAAGAGGTATGCAATTCTTTGTTTTCCCAACCAAAATGAACATCCACTACTCACTCTTTCTTTTGACGTTCCTATTACCACACTGGACAGTCTGTTTTCAAACAGGTCTTCAGTCTTTAAATTGCCAGCAGCCCCAGGTAATGGAGGAAAGCTAGACAGACCCAATTCAAAGCTGGGAGATGGAGGTTTTGGGGGTGGTGGAGACTGTGTTTGGCCTCTCTGGAATAGAAATACCAGGTTGGGGTTACTGCACTAGATGACAGAAAAGATACGCAGCTCTAAACTGTATTTTCACTTGATTTGTATCAGCAAACCCCTGGAGAAGGTCCCCCCATCTCATCCCTCAAAAAACCCATAGAGTACCGAGGAATGGATGCTTTCATTTTCCACTGTTGCCCTTAAAATATTTAATTATTATTTAAATATCATGGTATATGCATCAGCTTTAGGGACACTGACACAATAACTAGTTTTCTCACTGACTCTTCATTGAGGACAGACACAGTGACACAGAAAGGAAAACAGACTGGTTTATGTACCATGATATGGTGAAAATATAATGCCCATTTATGTACAGTTAGTAACATCCTAAATAAAAAGACAGGAGTCAACAAGAATCTTACTTTCAGATATATGAAGAAAGGGTAAGACAGCATGCCTTATATGTAGTACAGACAATAACAATTTACATCTAATTAGTATTAATCTGTATTGTCACTGTGTAAAAATAGAATTGTAAGAGTCAAAACCATTTTTGAAACAGACACTTTATAACTAATTCTAAGAAGAAAACCAATGTCTCAAGCAAAACAACCACCTGTGTGTTAAATGCAACTTTTTTGCACTATAGACAGCAGTTCAGTAGTTAAAAGTACCATGGTTTAAGATCACTTGTGAGAAATGCTGGTAAGGATTTGCAAGTTATTTTATATTTACACAGGAAAAATAAAACTCCTTTGTAATATGCTGTAACTGAAGTTACAAATTAACTTCACCTACATCATGTAAACAAAGAAGTTTTTCTTCAAAGAACTGTTTCTTGACTGTGCTGTGGCCTGTGCTAAGATGATCTTTGCTGCAAAATACCAAATGCAAACCAAACTTTGAAACAGCTCCTATTTTGAAAAGGAAAACACAAGTATATAGTCAAGATGGCGTGAATGTGAGAACAATGCTTCTGGACAAAAAGAACAACAGATATAAGACTACTTTTGAGGTCTTTTCACAAACTACATGTAATGTCCAAAGAACTGTGTGTCAAGAGGGAAGTAGGGAAAGAAAAAATACAGAAGTGAGAACAATTGCAACTCCAAGCACTACTACTGACCCAGCATTATTCCCTGGAAGAATACTACAGCAATGGAGACTGCAAATCTCCAAAACTGAAGTCAGATGACCTGTCAAAGGTCAGGGAGAGAGACTACACTAATCCAGCTCAAACTGCAAGAGGAACAACTTGAATTTTTTTAACTCATTCTTCAAATCACAGCACTTACTCTTCTTAAAGGCGACTGAAGTTCTGCAATAGCAAATGTTTTTATGTTACATTTTAAGTTACACAGTTGAATCCTAAAACCCTCAAAATCTTAAGAGTGGCATTAACATCTAAAATTAGCAGGATAAGAGAGGACTTCAATGAATTTTAAGCTAACTGCATAAAATTTCTCAAGCTAACTTCTTATAGGTTCAGTACTTGGATTATGTCTACAGTCTCAGCAACAATCTGATCAAAAAGTTTCATGCTCTTTTTCATGCAAACGTGCATACAACTATATCTTTTTTTCCTTTAAAAAGAAAACTCATCTTTAAAAGTCATTATGCCATTAAAATATACTGGTTTTAGTGGTGTTCTGTGCACACTATCTAATTGCTACAGCATTACACAAGAAATAGGATACTGGATTCAATTATTTCCACAGTCTAAAGGGAAAATTTTCATTTCTTGGTTCCAAGTACACTTCCTTACAGTCCTGGGTGTGCAGCAGCTCTCACTTCTGCTCATGGTGCAGCACTGGACACTACAGAATAAAGATTCTTGGCCCAGAAGAGACTGGAAGGAACCTGGCTGCACAGGCTGCAATAACAGCCTGGAGCTGACAGAAGGGAATTGTGGGTCTCCAAAGAACTCACATCTACCAGTTTTTACATTCCAAGTTCAAATAATCTTTGCAGTCAGCTCTGTCAGAAGTGCTGCTCTGCTCAGGGAGGCGTCCAAGGTAATTCTTTCACTTCAGCCACTCACACCTAACCTGTACCACTTCCTTGTTCTTTTAAATACAGAAAAATTAATAGGAAAATTTCACTTTTAAAAATTCAAGCAGCTTTGAAAGGGCAAAAGGAAGAAGTACTGGGAATCCTACAGGCAATCTGGTCTCAGTGTCTCTGGGCAGTCTGATGAGAACTAAAAGCAATCAAAAGGAAGGAATCACTTGCTAAACCTTCCTGCTCCTTTATCCTAGTTCACTCAGGCCAATCAACAGCAGGAGCCACAAACACACACATGCAGTGATTCCAGACCTTTAGGGAAGTGTTGTGGCTCATGCAGTAGTGTTACTTTACAACTGTACATGAATAAGGAAATAACCTGGTTCAACTTCATGAATATGCCACATGTGGCAAAAATGAATTGCAAAGAAACGACTGGTTTTATCACACCAAACTTTAAATCCTACAAGAACATGTTTTTTTCTCTTCTACACTTAGTGCAGCCTTTTCAAGTATCATGTCTACTTTGGTATTAACCTTGAATTTCAATTTCCCAAAACCACAGTATTTTAATAGTGTTAGCATACCCTTACCTGGTGGCACCTAAAGAGGCATTTAAGAAAATCAACTGATCACTTCATAACAAATATTTTTGCTACACATTATGCCACAAGGATCTATATAATGTTTTTCACTGTCACTGACTGATAATGAACTATCAAGTGTTTTCAACTTCAGCTGTTTAGCCATTCCTGAATGTGAACACTGGCATGTTGACAAAAACTGAGATGGAAATTTTATGCTACTCTAAGAGTAATTTTAACTTTTCCCTGACTTCTGCATTAATGGAAAATCAGCTCTGATACCCAAATGCAGTAAACTCATGTGACTAATGAGCTGTTGTCTTTAATCAACTGTAATGTACAACTGCCTCTGCAGTAACTCATGTCCCCTGCTACTCCATGAAATATCCACACTCTTGCCTTGTTACCCTGCTTTTATTAGAGACAAATAAGATCATGAACACTCACTGTAAACTTGTCCTCCCTTTTCTTTCGGTAGCCATATGAGTTTTTCCTAAGGGAAAGAATGCAGATATGAGAACCTTACCTATAAATGGTTGGAAAGCAGTTAATGAAAACAGGAAAAATTAATTCCAATTGCTATTTCATCCATCTTCATTCTGCACAGGTTATATTATTAAGAAATGTTTCAGGGAAAAATTCCTAGCAAGCTCTCCTTAAAATAAAGGGATACATCTTATGCAAGTCAAAGTAAGAATAAACTGGTTACAATTAATTCCTGTGTTAAAAACATCTCAGCAGAGATACATATAAGGATTAGACAAAATGTTACAGTATATAAATAAGGGGGTCAAAAATTTTTGTATACCAATGTAACTTCTGAAATCCAGCTAACTATTTCCAATCCAGGTAAGGCTCCTTCAAAACATTTTTAGCACTTTGCCCCCAGCCCTGCTTCAGGTAAAGCCCCTCCAAGCAGTACAGTAAAATTTGCAGTGCATTCTAATTCAGTTTCAATATATTTTCTAAGTTAATTTGACTTTCATTATTCTAAACGTATATTCAATACTGAACCATCAAAATAATATCATTTTAAGTACTGACTGTTCCTGCACATTTTTAGTCTATAGTTTGAGCAATCTTGTTTCCTGAGTTCTTAATCATACTTTCATCCATTAGTTATAACACAATTTGGTAAATTAGATTTAGAGAAGTATTACAACCCTTGCACAAAATACCCATTTAATTTTGCAATGATACAAGTCTGAAATAGGATCATCTGCAAAACACTTATCTTCCAATTCAGTAAGTCACTCAAAATGTGATTTACTTGGAATCATAAATACAGCCATTATCAAAGCTGCAGAATACTTTTATGAAGCACTTATTAGAACTGTATTTATAAATATGCCAGTTTTCAGCTCCCCAGGTAGTTGGTTCTGGGTTTTATTAGGTTGCTTTTAAAACATAACAATAGATTCCTTAGTTGCCTGTAGCAGTTTTTCCTCCCTCCATACCAATCCATCATATTTGCTGTTGTGTATGCCCAGTTTGGATAAAATTCTGATTCTTCAACTGAAAAAGTGAAGAATGAGCACTGCTAACACACATTCAGGTGTACAATCTGCAATGCTGAACAATGGAATTGGGCAGAACTCCTTCAATTAGGTCAAACAAATAATACACAAAACCTTTCTTGCACCAGATAAAGAAAGGATAGAAGTTTAGGTCTTACAGATCTAAATAGTTCATCAGTTGCCAATAATGATTTCCATCTGGTAGGAAAGCATGGAAGTCTGCTTTGCCTTTGTTCTGTATTCAACACTTTCTGTGAAGTGTTTTGCAAGTTTTTAGGTTTGAGGAGAGTCTGAGTTTAAAGCAGCATTGAGAGCAGTAACAATACCACACCTGCACTAAACAGAGCAGTTCAGAAGCAGCAGCACTTGGCTGCTCAGAGGACAACCATGAAGCACACTCACCTCCCCCTCCCTAGTCCAGGGGACGAGTCAAGGCTGGTCTGTTCCATCCTCCCAGTCCCCACTTCCCTCTTGGTGTAGCTGGTGGTGGCACTCTGCACCCGTGTCCTGCTTTGGCCCGGCTGCCGCGTCTGTGGACTCCTGACGCCATTGATTAAACGATCAGCAGAAAAGTTGAATATTGTAGGACTGTCTAGAAGCCCAGGTCCCCTTTCTGCACTGGGTATTGTATGGCGTATATGTGACTTGCTAGGATTCCTATAAATTCAAAAGTCATTTCAACATACGCGCACTAGCAGAGACCTTCTGAGGCCTAAGCCTGTTCACAGAATTCAGAAGAAGCAAGATCTTCACTCCTTTATCACTTATTTCAGTTATAAGAATGATCAACATTCATTGTAACAGGTCATGTGAATGATCAAAATTAACCTTTTCCCTGTCTGTTTTCAGCTAGAGCTTTACTGTATGAATAACCCTGTTGATGACATGTCATCTCCCAGAATACTTCAGCTGAATACCCTAAATCACAGAACAGACAACTTCTCAGCTTTCAGACTGTCCATTTACATTTCCAAACACTGCATCCATTAACATCAGAAGCACCATCTGCCCTTTGGCCTCACCTTTGGCACCAGGTTCAGTTTCACAAGTACTCTCAAGTTAGCTGGTGTTACTAAAACAAGCAGATGAAAACCCCATGTGCCAGATAATACAACAGTATTGTTAAAAGATAGATGAACTTGCCTGTTTCTGGGAGGATACTGTCTGAGTGTTGTCAGTGGAGAAGCAGCAGGCTTGAAGGTTGGAGATGTGAACCCATTGATAAATCCAGTATTTGGAAATGGTGTTACCTAAAAAAAGGTATTGCATGCTCATCATTATAAACAAACTGAGTATTACTTTTCTTAACCCCATATTTTATGTCATTCTGTGCAGGACAGTACTCAAAAGATTGTCTCAAACAGCAACAGAGCATCTGTCTAGTGCCTTGTAGCTAACTTACAAAATTTCTGGAAAAACCCCAAGCTTCTGTTTTTCTGAGAAGTCAGCCACTATACATATTCAACTTATGACAGTTCAAGAGAACTGAAAAACATCAAGCCAAAATTCTTGGTTGTAAGTTAAACAGCTCTCCTCCTACTTCACACCATACTACTCATGGCTTTGGAGTATCAAGATACTCCTTTGTCAGAGCCTCTAATCTACATGGCCTGTAACTGTTTCTCTTACAATTGTACATGAATTCCTCCCTTAAAAAACCCCAACAACTTCCTTTTAGTTCCTCATTCTACTTCCATGTGACATCTAAATAAAGCCTAGAGAATAAGTGGATGTTAAGTGGAACTCTGATGCTTTTCAGATCTTACCACCTTATTCTACATGTGAAACACTGTTTTCTTGTCTGAAGAAACAACATTTTCTGGGGTGGGTGCATACTAACACCTTGTACATGCCTCAAAACCTGAAGCATGTTCAAAGTCATTTCTCCAACCTCACTAGCACACTTTTGTATTTTTTATTTAAATGTGGGAGTTTCATTTAAGGAACATTACTGTTAGCACCAGCAAATGCTTGCTTGTATTTTTCCCCTGAAAATAACTACAATGCAGAACAAAAAGATTCTTTCTACATTCTATTAAGCTTTGAGAAACAGCTGGGATTAAGACCATTTGCTATAAAGGTACGTTTAAACTTGAAAAAGGTTTCTTGCGCAAGTTAAATCATTAATCAATGGAAAACAAAATTTAACACCAAAGCTGTCATATCAAACTACTGCTAGCCTAACCTAGCATGCATGACAGCAAATGCTCCCTCAGGCTTCACAAAAAGGCCATTAAAGAAGGCCTGTAACAAAGCTCCTTGAGGAACAAAGTTTCATCAAAATATGCTTTGAAGTGTTTCTGGTTTAAGAGTTACAACATGAGGCCTGAAAAATTCCATCAAAGCTAGTAAGCAACCACTGAACCTGAAAAATGAGAAGACACTGAACTTATCAGGGACACTAGCAATATTCAACTCTTCTTTCTTTATAATGATGTGTGATCCTTTTGGATGAAAAAAAAATTTTCCCCATTTTCCACTAATACCAAAAGCATTCACAGAAGTCAACTGGTTCAAATACACTTTCTTTTCAATGTCTTTTTTTTTCATTCCCAAACAGGAAAAACTAGATTTTTTTCTCGAATATGATTTAAGCACATGATGAACAATGAGGTAGTTTTAGAATCCCGAGGACATGTGTTGCCATATTCAAGTTTCAGAACTAAAATGGTATTGCCCACATGACTGGGGTATTCAATCTCAAATTAGAGATGAGAGAGAGTAGAGTTTATGTTGAAGCACAATAGAGAAACTTTGCTGTATTTTCACACAAGTCTCTACATGCAAACTGCAACCCTGTCTCATGAAAATTATTGCTGTGTCATGGTTCCTCATGGTCCCTGTTCTCCTCAAGTGATTCCTATTCAAATATAGCTCTTCCTACAAAAGAATCAAGAAACATCACGTTACAGTCATGTACATAAAATGCAGCTAACCAATGACAATACACTGCAGAAAGTGAAAAGCAAAGCACAGACAGTTGATTTCCTGTTTTGACTAAGAAAAGTTTGAGATCTTTCCTGCTAGCAAACTCATCAAGTCTTCCCCAAAAGATAGGACTAACTTTCTTGGATACAGAAAGTTACAGGATAACATAAGTAGATACACAGTATGATGTGCTTGAACCTGTGGCTTATTGATCTTTGTCTTCTGTATTATTCCCATCCAGCTCATTCAGTATCCCAGAGCAAGACTGTGCAACAGCCTTATTCTCAGTTTATCTACAGGTAGATTCAAATTCATTGCTGCTTAACAAGACAGCTTTTTCCTGGAACAATACTGCTCACTGTGTTACCTTGTCTCCTCCACATTCTTCACATCCCCCCCAGAACACCTCCCCCTGCAAAGCCTCTGGTTCCCTTCCCTGTGTGTGAAGTGTTTAGCACACCAACTTTTTAATTAGCTGTGGTTCAGTTCAGAGGATGTTTGCTCAAGTTTATTCAAGGACACTTTAATCCTCTGCCAAAAAAAACATCTAAAGAACTTCTAATTTTGAGCATTGCTCCCCTCATTTCTTTGAGCCACAAGTAAAGGAGGCATCTCCAGAGGGGAGAAAGAGGCTCCAGATAGGAAACCTGAGCCTCCCAGTCATTACAGGAAACTCCACGTGTTTGTAGGGTAACAAAGGCCAACTAAAAGGGGCCAAGGTAATTCTGATGAGTGTCACAAAGCAGAAGACAGAAGCAGCATTGCAGGATACAGTATATATCTCATTAGAGTATTTAAGGATTTCTTGCTACCATCCTAGCTTCAAGCCTTACCAACAGCCCTTTAAGAAAATAATTTAAAAACCAATTTAAAAGTGATTTTTGTAATTAGCAAAAGCAATTTCACTTTTCATTGCCAAAAGAGATGTTACCATTGCACAGAAAATATTCTGCTTTAAGAACAGGGCCAAACAGGGCAATTCAGCATGTTAACCTACAATCTAACTTCCTGTTAAAAGAACTTGGTATCTTGACAAGTCTTTACTAAGGAACTGCCTCAAAATCTAAAAGGTTTAAGAAGAGAATCACACTCCAGTCTGAGATCAGACACAATTTTCAAATAATTAATCCATCTTGTACACCATGGCAAGGATTCTGAAGGACTGTTTTTCAAGAAGAACCAGAATCTTAAACTCCCCTCTTCAGGATAATTATGTTTCCTACACCTCAATAAGAAAATAGTATCAGCTTTGAAAAGAACACAACTGTTCCAGAATCAAGAGACTTACCAATGAAGGGTCAAGGTAGCTGTGTGCGGCTGACCAGGTCTGTGGGCCAATTAAGCTGTACAGTGGGAAGTGCTGCTGGGGACTGTATACTGGAGGGATGTAAAAGGATGTTGTGTAGCGCTGCTGCGTGTAGAGGTTCATATCCAGAGGTCTATATCCATTCTTTGGCAAAAATGTGTTTATAGCTATTGCCTTTGCTTTTATCCTTGCCTGCAAAGGAGATTAGATTATTTATTACAGCAGTCTTTCGAATTATATCAGGATGGTTCAAATTAGCAGCTCTCAAACTTTTACTGGACACTTATCAGTCACTGCAGGGACAGCAGGAATGCTCCCCTGCTGCCTGATGCTGGGCTGGATATACCACTGCCACAAATGAGGAAGAGGAGAGCTGAAGTCATATGTGCTACATTTCTAAACCCACCTCCAGGAGAAATGGCTGCTGAGATTAGACTACTTAACTTTACATTAGAAATCACAGTGAGCACCACAAAACCCAGAACATACACACACCCCCCACCCCTAACATCATAAACCTCTATTTACCTTAATTGGTTTTCCTTGGAAAGTCTTCACTTCTTCTCTAAGGTATCTGTAAGCCTTTATAAACAAGAAATTGTTAGATTTGTCAAATATGATTTAAATAAAGGAAACTTAAGTTTTGACAGGCTAAGCCTAACAATAATTCTTGGAGTGTCTGCTAATGTTACAGTATAGCAAAATCTCATACATCACCTGCACTTAGCAACATTTAACTTATCATTAAGTGCTTCAGTAGCATTAAAACAAGATTCTAATGGTTATGATTATAGGATTTCAACGTGTCACCCAAAAAAGTCAACACTCTCAGTACAAAAAAAATCATAGCTTTAGCCAGGAAGTCACGATATGTGAATAAGATAAAAAAAACCTCTTAAGTGTTATGTTTAATAGTTACTGAAAACTGGACACAACCTAAGGGGAAGCATTAGTGTTTTTACAGCATGGGGTATGTTTTTCTTTATGTTGTTACACATTTGTAATACAGTTTCCAACCTGTCAATTCATCCTCCTGTCATCCTTATTTACTTTTACATTCTAAAAAGATTAAAAAAACAGCATTACCTGCTGTGCATCAGCTTCCGATTCAAATGTGATGAACCAATTGTCATTATAGGCAAACTCACAGTTGATGAACTTAGGCAAATTGTCTCCTTTGAAAAGTGCTTCAACCTCCTGGGGAAAGTGGTTTGATAAGGAGGTGGGGAGGTGAGGGGGGAAGGATGGAGAGAAGAAAAGACATCAATGTAAAATGCAAAACTCTGACACCCTGAGAAAGAAAGACACTGCTGGGCTTACAAAACATAACAGAGTAGTTCAGAACACCTGCAGCAGTGTCAGCACTCTCCAGTCTCCCCCTGGAAGGAATTAAAACTAGCACAGTCTAAGGCCATACTGCAAGAGAGGTCTGGCTGGGAGCTATTTAGGCCACAGAAGACATTTAAACTTGGTATCAAGTGCAGAAAGATGTCTATTTCTCCCCTGTCCCCAAAACCATGGAGCCACATGAAAACCTGTGCATATGGCATGGGACAGGAAAATCCTGCCTTTTCAGTAGAAACCTGCAAGTAAACTTTAACTCAAATGTTTACAGACTCATGTATTTGAAACAGGGCTGATGTTACCTCAAACATGACTGGCTAGTTTCTACAGAAAAAAACAGACCCTGGATTTTTTATTTGTTTTAATTCATTTGCATACTTTGTTTTGTCACAGATCTGAGGTGAGCAGCATCAAAAGGCAACACAACTTGGGAGGCCTTACAGCCTTTGCTGCTTTAATAAAGCCTGACTCTGCTGTGCTAGAAAACATAGGCTAATAAATCTGGTTAGTTAAGTCCAGATTTTTCCAGCACAACAAATTTAAACACAATGTATAAAGCATTTCACTGGAGACCAATACTTCTGAAAATAAAGACTCCTCAGAACTTTGTTGTCAAACATTTAAGAGTAAACATCCAGTGCCAATATATCTAACCTGATGAACTCATGACAGGAAAAAAAAAAAGAATCTACAATACTAAAACTTAGGCAGTCTTTGTAAGGCTACATTTAATTTGGAAAGCTAGAAGTAGCCACTATTTTAAAGCTATGTACATAGCACATATCCAACTTCTTCCCTTCAATTCCTTTTAGCATTTTGTTTCATGTTCCTGTTTACTAAGGCCACTTAGTTTTTTGTTACCAGTTTCTAAACTGCAGTACTTCTGATTTTTGTATGATGGCTTTTAAGAGGAGCAACTCTTTCAGAATCTTTAGTCTTCCTTGTAAAATTAAATAGAAGAGAAACTAAAATATATATCCATCATCAAGAATCTGCACCTTCTCCTTTTTGAAAATTCAAGATGGTTTAATTACAACCCCATAATTTTTTTCTAATATTTCCATCAGTCACGGTCCTGATTCATTGGAGTGGCATTAAGTATCTTTCAAATAATGAAGTTCTCCAGTCTTGCACTCATTCCACAAGCCAGGGGAGATCCTTAGTGACTTATTGACACCTCTCACCTCAACATTATAGAAACGTTTACAAAGTTTTAACTACTTTACTTGAGCAAGCTTCAGGGGGCAACAGTGGCATTTTCTAGTCTAAGATTTATCTTCTTTCATCTTTGTCTATTTATCCAAGGATCTGAGCACCAAGTGCATATAAGTAGGACAAAGCCCAAGAAATAGATGTATCTCTACCAAAGACAGCACTGTCAGTTTCTCAGTCCTCTGCAGAACTACAGGTTCTACCACAGCCTTGCTATGAGCAACATGCATCTACCAAAAATATTTCTTATCCAAACAAAGACAATACATTTAAGAAGTGCTGTTAGAAACTAACAGTGTAGTAGTAAAAAATGTGATGTGCTTATTGAAATCTAGGAAAAAAATCTAACTTCCAAGTGCTAAGGGAAAAGTGTTCTTTACTCAACATGGGAACACTTACTTCAATGGGAGTAGATTCAGGTACTTCACGTAAAATCACAATACAGCGATTCTGATTTGGCCGAACTTTTTCCCCCTTTTCATCCACTTGAACTAAAGGCAACGCTAAGAGAGAAAAGACAAGAATGCATTTCAGCTGTCAACAAACCTGGGAGCTTTGCACTCCAAAAGATGCTGTGAACATAGACATACAAGGCAGAGCCTCCAATATTTTTTGAATTAAGAAACAAGCAGACAACGTTTCTGTTCATCATTTACATGCCTGAAGAACCCTTTCTAGTTTTTTACAAAACTTGTAGCTCTGGCGAAATACACTCTGAGCTGAGGTTTTCCATTTATAACTATCTCTGCACACCCTGGCAATGCCTTTGCAGCTCTCATCAGGTATTCATGCAGTTTTCCATCTCTGGTATGTCTCTCTCTTGTTTTGAGCAGACTCAGAAGCACAGAGTTAAGCCAAGGGGGTCTCTTGATCCACCTACTTCCCTTACCTTTACAGGGGATGAAATGTTTTTGTGCTTCCAGGAGAGAACTCCCAGCACTAGTACAGTTAGTGCCTTTATCTTCCATGGAAGCTTCCCACAGAATTCTTCCCAGCTGTGCTCTGAGCAAGCTGAAGTTTGCTCTTGCAAAATACAAAACCTTAGAAATGCTCAGTGTGCTCAGCACGACCCCAAACACCACAGTTCTATGACTGGAGCAGCCAAGGCTCCCCCTGACTGAGACATACAGAGCAGGTTTTCTCAGCTTCTGAGCAGTGAGTCCAGCAGTGCCTCACTGCTGGCTGGCACACCCAACACCTGTATGGGGACACAGTCCTCTGCATGTTCCAGAAACTTGATGGATGGCAGGAGCTGCTGTATTGTTCTTCCCACAAATATCTAAGCCATTGAAACCGACTGCAAGAACCAGGTTTGGCTGACCCAAAGCTCACTTAAGTGACACAAATATTGCTCTGTTGGCCTTATTGTCCTGGTTCAGGTCAGTAGCAGATGCCAGCTGTAAGATTCCCCTTGGAAACACCCCCCAGGGTCTTGGCCCACAGGTACTCCATAGAGCTTCCATGACTGATGCAGCTGATTTCCATCCATTCAAGGTTCTCCTTAAGAGAGTGAGACTCCTCCATCCCTTTTTCCCCACCTGTCTTTACAGAACAGTCTAAAGATATCCATCATGATCCCCCAATCATGTGAGTTGTCCCACCACATCCCACAATTTAAAATCCTTAATTCTTATGTGCATAGATCATTATTCAATAGCTGAAATACAGAGTAGCTTTAATAAAACTACAGTCCTATAACTGATGATCTAAGCTGCTTGGGCTACTTAATGCTGTACAGAAAAATAATGGCATTTTACTGCAATACAATAAGAGAGATGAAAAATTCAGATTAATAGTTCTACACCAATAACCAAAATGCTTTCTAGCACTGAGGAACTTTTACTTACATCTCAGCACTTCAACAATCAAATCCATATCAGTACTGAGTTTCTTGACATGATCAAGATTTGCTACTGTCATTATTGGCACATACTGATCACTGTCCATCTGTGATATAAGGTACATGTCACTGGCAAGATTTTCTCTGTTGGGAGGAAAAAAAAAAAAAGAGAAATGTCATAGATTAACTTTGTCCAATAAACTTAAGACAAAAATTCATCACATAGTAGAAGGCAGATTCCTTCAGCATTTTTGCTAATTAATGAAAATCACTGGCTTAAAGCTTGCTAAATAGCTTAAATTACTCAGTTATAATTATGACCAGTAAAGATCACAAAAATTCACCTGATCTGTAATTGCTTGTAACTACTCTCATTTCAAACCCATGTTTTTGCTAGTTTATGCATTAGGCACAGAGCTTTCAGGTAAGCTTTAAGAGGTACATCAACACAACACTCTGAAATTTGTGTGTTACTTTTTCCAAATTCTCATCCTTTCCACCCAGTTTTAAGAAACAACTAAGAAATGTATTAACATACATCCCAAGCTGTTAGTCATCCTCCAGTTTGGTCCATTTAGGTAAATACCTACCTAGATAAACAGAATTCCAGTGTCTTTTTCAGTAATTCTCGTAAATCTTCCTGACCTTCTGGCTGCAACTGTTCGTTTCCACCTAATAATTAAAATACTTCAAATTAAAAAGTAGCTCTGCTATATTACACAATATCTATTTTAAACAAGCCATCATGTCTATTACTGACTACATAACTAGTAATGAATTTTCAAATTCAATAGATGTTCATTATGTATTAGTTACCAACTCCTGAAATTGCATGGCAACTTTTTATTTAAGACAGAAAAGAGAAACCATGTCTGACTTTACTTGTTAACCTCTGTTCTCCAAATACATAAAAAATCTGAAGCACTTTTAGAACAGCTACAAGCACATCTCAAAGTAAACACTGTCAATTTCTAGCTGATGAAATTTCTAGCTGATGAAACCCTGACTAATGCAATGCAAGGAACAATGCAATGGAGGTATTCCATACTTCTGGTCTCACTCTAAATTACCAACACATTAATTCAGAGAAGGTTTTCAAAAATATGGTTATGGAATATCAGCAGATATCCAATCTACTAACAACAATATGCAATCAATTTACAATCTTTTGGTTAAGAAGGCAAAATTAATTACTTTTTTATATATGTAAGTTTAAAAATTATCACAAGGAAAACATGAACTCCATGTTTCTTTTAAGTTTAGACACAATATACCAATGTCAGTAGATAGTAAACTCATTGAGTCAGTGGGAGAAATGTTTCAAGAGTAGAAGTTTTGTGTGGCCTTTAGAGATTTGTAGAACATTTAGTAGGACATTATTCATGTTAATATGTATGTGTGTAAATGGAAATTGGCTTTTTAGAAGCATTTCACTACTGTCCTCTATACCCTTCCCTTCACTAACTTTCATCCTTTTATTCAGCTCTCCTTAGCCTTTCTTCTTCCTAAAGCAATTTCTAATTTTCTCCCACCATGCTGTCCTCCCGTGTTCTCCTCTGATGAAGAGAACACCAACACTTGAGAAATACATGTATCATGTTCTAACCATATTTCTTTTTATATGCATTTTTAAAAATAATGACTAAAAAATGAAAGATCAAATTTCAGACTTGGGACCATGTGTCACTATTCATCAAATGGAACAGACCCAACCTGCTGCTCAGCTCTTTACAACACCATCGAACTCGTGTTAAAAGTTAACTCTTTTGGGCACATAAAGGACACACTGACAAGTTCCAGCAATAATCTGAAGAATGCTGTTCCCTTCTAGAGTGTGAGGCACCATTAATACAATTTCCTATCTGCCAGCTAGTTACTATTCAATATTCTTAAATATTACCCTTAAGTACAAGAGTCAATGAGAACTTTCAGTTTTCAAATATAAGCAAAGATGATACCACAATGATGTCTGATTTTCTGATTTCAGTTGCCTTGATTTGCAGCTATTATGGCTGCTGTACTGGTAATTTTAAATACTAAATCAGCTAAGCATAATGAACAGACCTGTTGTGAATCTCAAGAAACACCCAGTACATTTTCCTCTACTTCCCATCCCTCATCTCAGTTCAAGTAGTAATCCTACATGCATCTTGCAGACCTTCTGTCCCATTCAATGAAATATAAGCATGGTGAATCTCTAGGCTAGTTTCCAGAAGCTTCTTAAAACATACCATCTGGTATAGACTACAGCTTTTAACAGTTGCACTGAAGAGAAATTCTGGAAGTTGATTAAATAAGAATGTGAAGAAGTTAATACTAAAATGTGGCTTCTATTTCAAGTACAAAACGGGTCTTTCCCCACATTAACATTACTACTTGAGACACAAACTGTAGCTGAATCTCACCTCAGCACCTGACCCAACTAGAAACATGCATTTGTTTGATTCTGGGCAGAATCTTTTAAGATTTAAACCAGGAGAAGACTGGACTCTAAACATGTCCAAGTTTGACTGTATAACAGACAGGAATTCCTAGGGTCTGTTTAAAGAACGCATACATTGAACGAGAAAACCGGTATAGCTCGTGGGGCTTTTTTTGTTTTTCAGATGCTCACTGTTTAACTCAAAACACAAGTTTAGTTTGTTTTTAAGCTAGGTCCAAGCACACCCCAGGTTTCTCTCACCTGTCTGGGTGGTTTCGTGCATAGACTCATACTCGGAATGATCGAGAGCCAAAGGGTTCATGTCCGCCTGCTCCGAGCCCGGCACGGCCGCGCTCGGCTCCGGCAGCTCCGTCAGCACCGCGCTCTGATGCTGCTTGTCACCATCGCCATTGGCATCCAGTCCTGCAGCACACACCACCAACACACTCAGGAGTGCTCCTTCCACTCACACTAATGCCAGTTACTATGGCATTTAAACAACAGTTAAAACTACATCTGAAATACAAGTGTTTACATACATGCTTTACGTTTTTTACCAGAAAATTAGAATTGAGACAGTGCTAGAATTTTAACTTCTGCTTGAGCAACAGCCAGAAACTCTTGTTCATACCTTCTTTACAGGAATCTGGAGGCTGGTCAGGTATTTCTTCCCACGTTTTGCTCACGCTACCATCAGTGGCACCACTTGCTTCCAAGTGTAACATATGATTTCCCCACACCTTTGCATTGGGGTTTAACTCAGAAACCTTGGTTGACTCCTGCAAAAAGAAATGGATTATGCATTTCAGGGATGCACAGCAGGCATCTGGTGCACAGATACATTCAGTTTCAAACAACAGTATCAGACATACAACTCAAGATTTTACTGTCATGTTTTTTCACACCTGAATATATTAACTGAGTTCCCATAATCATTTCAGGTACACAACTGAACTGTGGTGCATTGTATTCATTTCCCTGATTAAAACCACCAGAAAAGATTATCCAAGCAGAGCAAATGACAACAAACATTTCATTCTTTGCCTTTGACAGACTAACTCAGCCTGTACTTGACCTAGACTTCAGACAGTTCTCTAATATACATGTCTTCTTGATGTTGATTATATTGCTAATCATATGTTACACTTTTATCTGCAGATCAATCTAACAGATGTTAGAACTGTATCTATTGTATCTGCAAAATAATACTTAAAAATATATCAAGAAAATACAAAAGTACAGGGATTTCTCTGAAATTATATAAACATGTAACAGTTTTAATGAAACATGGAAAATTGAAAGCAATAAGATGTGCATGACAATTTCTGTTACCACATTTAGAGGAGGAACAGAGCATTAGGACAAAACAATGAATAACCATATCCAGATAAATCATGTCAAGATAATCTCTTTTAACCTGGATTGGAAATGGGCACATTTAATGATTACATATGGTTATATACAACCATCATATAAATGGTCACATCTGTGTTTAAGAGAGATGGCTCTCTGCAGGGCAAACATCTACTACAATACTTTAGAGTAACCATGAGACTTGTTTTGCTTATGTTTGAGCAAAATGCATTGGACTACTCCACACAAAATATATGTTGAGTGTTTTAATGTAATTACACTGGGAAAGAATATTGCTCATGATAAGACACAATAAAAAAGGTTATTAAAAATTTGCTTTCTAAATTTACAGATGCTAGGAACATTACAGTGTTTCAAGGCAGGTACTCCAAAACCCCACAAAGCTTTAAATCTTCTTAAACACATGCATTCAAATACTTATTATCACAGTGCATAGAGAATATACCCAGAAAATAACTTAAAAATTTTCCTTAAATACATCTCCTGAATGACAGAGAAAACTTACAAAAAGTGGAAGTGTTTGACATAACTACTTGCATAGTAAGATTCAAAGATGACAGCAAGATCCATCAGTTTCCATTTTTAATATAAGAAGTTCCCCCCAGGAGAGAGCAAACAGCCTTGAGCACAATCCACTGCCCACACTGCAAGCGCTGGGCAAGGTCAGAGCAGCTGTTCCAACACAGCCAGCGAGGGGAACAACTTCAGGGAAGCTCAGCAGGGAAGGAAAAGGAGCAGCAGCTGCTCCAGGTTGACTCTGCAGAGTGGGTAAGGCTGGAGGGGACCAGTGGAGGTCATCCAGCCCAACCTCCCTGCCTGAGCAGGGTCCACAGAGCAGCTCAGGATTGTGCCCAGACAGCTTTGTTTGTTTCCTAGCCCAGCTAGCCAAGATCCAGCCTAGCTCTTTCCTCTTACTTCTCCTGCAGCTACTCCTCTCCACAGCACTACTCACCTCTAGAAGTGAGGAAAAGATTTCCTAATTGCTACCAAACAAGAACTTCAGGAAATCCACAAACATTTCTTCCTATACAAAACTAAAGAACATTAAAATGGTTTGTAGCAAGCTTCCTTTCTGCACACTGTTTATCTTAAGTTCAGTTGAAACTGAGAACCTGCAATCAAGTTACTTTGCCAATGACTGAATATTCACACAAAGTAAACAGAAAAAATAAAATCAATATTCAGCAAAATTTTTTACTTCTGCATTCTGTACAGAAAAGCATTCAGCTTTTCAAAGGAAAGGGAGTCATCAGCTTCAGGACAAAACAACATCTATTTAACTAATGAAACCACAGTCTGACTTGGGTTAGTCAAACTTCTAGCTTCAGCTTTAAGAGCAAACCACTTCTGCAGAATACTTACAAGTTCATCTTTACTGTGCCATCCCCACGTACCAGCACATTCCGGTGCTAGCAGCTGATATGGGTATGTTTCCACTGCATATGAAGCACTTGGTAAATTTTCAGGTTCATTCTGGAAGTTTTCATTAACTATACACAGTCTATCATTCTTCATGGTATCATTAGAAGCTGCATTATTCCATAAAAAGCCCACTAGATATTCACCATTACCAGAAGGAACCGTGTCAGAAAGCAGCTGATTTGTCCAATCAGCATTGCCAGTCTGAAGATTGATGAAATGTGGCCACATTTCAATGTGGGGATTTTGTCTGTCCAGGTCACAGGACTGCTTCTGGTCACTTGATCCATCTTCCATCAGACCTAACACACATTGCTCTCTGCTTTGCTGAAATCCTACTGCACCAGGAGAGGCACTGGCTATTTCATAGGAAGGAGTAGCAGCATATTTGTCTACCTGCTTTGGGTCAACACAAACTCCAAGCTCTTTGTTTGAGAAAATCTTGTGATCTGGCTGCATCTGTTCCCAGCTTGTGGTCAAGTCATTCATCTGAGTATTTAATATGTAACTGGTGTTTTTCAGTTCAGTAGTCTTGGCTTGCAACTGCTTCAAATTCCCCCTGGTAAAAGGTTCTAGATTCTCAGCTGATAAACCAAAACCATTGAGGTTCTCCTTTGCGTGGATGCTGACATACTGCTTTACTTCACCATCCTGGAAATGACATTCATTTACATCACACATACTTTTTTCACAAGTTTCTGATCCATCCTCTGCAAAAGGCACAACAGAAACTTGAGTGTTCTCTACTTCTGGCTCTGGACTGGCACAGTGACACAACTCAGGCTCTTCTGCTGGTTTGTCATGCTCATGAGAACATGCATTTTGACACAATACAGGTAAAAAGTTACGGTCTATGTTTAAGAGTTTAGTGGCATCTTCCAGATTTTTCGTGGCATCTTTTAATTTTACACTCCTGTCCATACAGCTGTCCGTGAGTGCAGGTGCAGAGGAGTCAGAGGGAGCATTCTGACTGTCAGCCAAGCCTTCACTGCAACTGAAGATGCCTTTATCACAATCAGCAATGTTAGCATCCAGACTCTGTTTTACATTTTCTACCTTGTTATCAATGGGCTCATTTAGCTGACCTTCAAATTTCATCTGTTTTACAGATTCTACTACACGCCCAGCTGTTTTGGCTGACTCAGTCTCTGCACTCCATTGATTTTTCACTGTGTGGAAGGAACACACATCCTGTTGCTCATCTTGTCTGCTGTTCATATCTATTTTATTCATATGCTCACATTCCACAGACACAGAAGAGACACTGGTTTTGTTATCTGAATTTGAATATTTGCATACTTTATTCTCTACTAATTCTTGTGAAACCTGACACTCTAGGGTGTTTTCCTTTAGGAACATTTCATCTGTGCTTGGATTATGTGCATGAGATGTCACGGTGCCATCACTTATCCCTGATCTAGTTCTGCTCAAGTTACCAGCTTCCTCAAGAAAGTCACCTTTTAGTTCAGTGGCACTCACACAGATCTCCTCCTCCATGCCACTCTGGATTGCAGGTTCAGATGATGCCCGGATTTCAGTGCAACCTTCAATGTGAGTTTGAACATCAGAACCTTCCTCCAAGTTCAGCTGTGTTTCAGTCATGTTCAAAGCTTCACAGCTAGGCAAAACTGTACCAGTGCACGTCTCTCCCTCTTTTAAGGATTCTTCAAAAGTGCTGTGATGTGCACTAGAGTCTGGTGAAAATGTTTGGCTATTACCATATGCTCTTTCAAGTGTTTTCTTTTCCACATTTGAGTTTACTTCACTTTCTGGCTCTAGAAAGCAGACCTCTTCATCAAGTTTTTCTACATTGTCCATTTCATGTAACTCTAATGATAATTTAAAGTTACCCCCTGTGTTGTCTACCACCTGTTCAGTATTTATTTGCTCTACAACACTTGAGGGATGCTTAGTTAGTGGCACAACATCAGAATGATTATTTCCCTCAGTTTTTCCTGAATTAGATACTCCAGAGTTTAATAACACATTGGAAATATGATCACTGTTCTTCACCTTTTCTGAGTTAGGGCTGTATTGGTCCTCTCCAGCAGCATCCACAGGCTTCACAGAATCACAAGCAGTATGCAGTGATTCACTCCACCTGGCAGCACTACCCATGGTATATACCTCCTCTTGCTGATTCTCAGGGATGATTTCACCAGGCACTTTTGCTTTTAAGACATCTGTTACTGTACTATCAGTATTTAACCTCTGCACCTGACACCTGTCAGTCAGTAAGTGATCAAAAGAACACTGGATGTCTAGGCTACAATATTCCTTTGTATCCTTTTTCTCCATGTTTGATCTATCCTCTTTTTTATACTCAAACAGTTCTTCCTGTGAATTAAACTTAGCTTCCACTTGTGCCAATTGTTGCATTGGAAATTCCTTCCCCCTGTCTAGAGGCCGTGCCATGGTGCACATTCCTTCATCAGTAACAGCTGAGTTATCTATGGCTGCTGCAGTCTCTCCATGCACAGTAGCTGGCACCTCTTCATCCCCTTTCAGATCTTCTGCATCTACAACACAAATGCTGTAAAACTCCTTGTCTTTCACATTTTGACTGTTGTCTACAACAAGACAGGAAAATGTTGGAGACATCTCTCTATATGAGCTCAAAACTTTCTGTAAGCTGTCACTCTTGCTGTCTTCAACATTTACTCTTGTTTCATTTTGCCTTGAATGGTCACATGTAACTGCATAATCCTCCAGAGAATTTCTATTTAAGGAAATTTCACTCTGTAAGCCTTTGTCTACGATATCTGCTACATGTGAATTAGAAATATGATCAAACAAGCAATGCTCCCGTGAAGGTACATTTTCATTAGTAATACTGCTATTATTATCTTCTATATTGTTCACATACTGACCATTACTATTAAGTTTTTTAGGTGCTTTTTTTTCAATAATTTTATCTTTCTTTTCTTCACTTCTCTGCAGATTTCCATATGTACCAGAGACTTTCAAGAGGTGACTAAAGGAATTC